TTTTACCTCACTGGGGATTACAAATTGCACCTGAAAAAATACAAAAAGGAGAGTCTATCAACTACTTAGGATATAAAATTAGGTCTACAGAAAATTAGACCACAAGAAGTACAGATCAGAAGAGTTCGCTACCAGACTCTTAATGATCCTTAAACATTACTAGAAGAGATTTCTCAACTGCAAACCTTTATTGGAGTAGAAGGGACATGATTTGAAAAACCTTAAAATGGCCCTAAAAGGAGATAAGGACTTGAATAGTCCACGAATATTATCAGCTAAAGCTGAGAAGGAATCAGAATGGGTAGAAAAGAGGATACTAGAAGCACACGTGGACCGTGTGGATCCAAACCTAGACTGTATTCTGGTTATATTACCATCTAGAGAATATCCTTCAGGGATTTTGATGCAGAGAGAAGATATCATATTAGAATGGATATTCCTACCACATAAACAGAATAAAAAACTAAAAACATATATAGAAAAGATCTCTGACTTGATTATAAAAAGTAAATTAAGACTTCGTCAGCTAATAGGAAGGGACCCAGCAGAAATTATAGTACCTTTAACTAATGAGGAAATTTCCTTCTTATGGAAAGATAACGAATATTGGCAGAGAGCTTGCAGTAATTTTTTGGGAACGATTAGCAACAACTATCCCAAAACTGAGAAAATCAAATTCATAAAGAAAATGTTTTGGATCCTTCCACGCATTGTAAGAAAAACACCTATTTCTGGAGTTCATACATTCTACACTGATGCAAACAAATCAGGTAAGGCAGGATATAAATCAGGAAAAATTAGCAAAGTGGTTCAAAGCCCTTACAATTCTGTACAAAAGGCATAATTGTATGCCATTCTCATGGTACTCATGGATTTTAAAGAACCCCTCAATATAGTTACTGACTCTCAATACACAGACAGAGTAGTCGTTTTACACATTGAGACTGTAGAATTTATTCCTGAAAATACGGAATTAACTTCATTGTTTATACAGTTACAAGATACTATTAGAGAGAGGACTCATCCTATATATATAACACACATCAGATCCCATACGGGTCTGCCAGGTCCTCTAGCACAAGGCAATGATGAAATTGATCGTTTATTGATAGGAAGTATGCTAGAAGCCTCAGAGTTTCATAAGAAACACCACGTGAACAGCAAAGGTTTAAAAAAGGATTTTTCTATCACTTGGGAACAAGCCAAGGAAATAGCGAGGAAATGTCCTACTTGCTCATTCTATAACCAAATTCCTTTACCACCAGGCAGTAACCCTAAAGGTATAAATAGGAATGAAATATGGCAAATGAATGTGTTTCATTTTGCAGAATTTGGAAAATTAAAGTATGTACATCACACTATAGATACATTTTCAGGGTTTCAATGGGCTACTGCTCTGAGCTCTGAAAAGGCTGATTCTGTTATCACACACCTATTAGAGGTAATGGCCATTATGGTCATACCTGCACAAATAAAAACTGACAATGTTCCAGCATATGTCTCCAGCAAATTGAAACAGTTTTTTGAGTATTATAACATAAAGCACATAACTGGTATACCACACAATCCTACAGGACAAGCAGTGGTTGAGAGATCCAATCGTACTTTAAAAGAAATGCTCCATAAACACGCAGGAGGAACCAAAACACCCGAACACAGATTACATAATGCTTTATTAACATTAAACTTTCTTAATGCTGATGAAAAAGGGAAAACAGCTGCAGAAAGACACTGGACAATAGAAAAATCTTCTGAACTAAATCAGCCAGTGTACTTCAAGGATGTACTGACCTCAGAATGGAAAGCAGGATATGTGTTAGGTTGGGGTAGGGGTTTTGCATTTGTATCTACAGGAGAAGAAAACCTATGGATACCATCTAAGTTAATCAAGATCCGAGTTGAACAAGAGAAACATCTTAATGAAGAGAAATGACAAGTCATCCAACAAATTAGTTCCCATGAGGTGTGCGGAGGCCTCTCAAAGGTAGGGGAAGTGTTCTGTTCTTGTTCTTACAGGAAAACAGAGAAAACCTATCATCAAACAGCCAAAAGACACTGAACATGTAGGTACCTACAGAAGAGAAGACAGCTCTTCAGAAACAATCACTTAAGGAAGCAGAATCTGATATATGGTAAAAAAAAAAATATTTAATTGTAGTAAACTATTTCTATACAGAAATTTATTTCTACTATCTAGTATTCCTGAAGTCCCAATTTATTTAAACCAATGCTGGCTTTGGAGTTGGATTTGGCTTTCCTTCTCTAAATTCAAGCATGTTATTAAGATTAAATTCATGGTTTCTGCCTTAAATCAAGAAGCCAATTGGTGTAAGGCAGAAGAAAACAAAATCTGGGGACTCATTTCTGGGGACTCAATTTTCTCTCTGAAATCCTAATATTCTCACATACTTTTTAATGCTTATTGTTGTCTTTCCCTAATGCATACCTTAAAACTTGAAAATTTTACTTTAATATTGATGTGTAACTTTTCCACAAGGAATAATAACGATTCCTAACAGCAGTCTTTGAACTCACCGGAAAGAAGATGGGGCCCCACATCATCGTTTCCACTTGACTCGACCTGATGCATCTGAACTACAAACATCACCCTAAAACTGGTTTGAGACTGTTTTGCTCAAGACAACTCATGACTAGCTAGCTGTAATGGTGCACCTTTTTATTACACCCTGGCCAGAGTTTCAAATAGAACTACAGTCAAGAATTTTCTGCCACACAGTGACTAGCTACATATGTCACAGCCAGTTCTGTTGAGGAATTTGGTTGCTAAAAATTTTCTTCGTACAGGATCCATTGGAGCAATCATCGTCCCATTTCAGCAAGAAGTAACCTTAAGATAACGACGCCCCCCTTTCCCTACCCTTGGAATTTTGTGATAATAGTCATCATCTTTGGGTTGGTTTTAGTTATTTAGGGTTGGGTATGGAAGGTGATGCTTACACTTGCGTTTATCTTTTAGACAGTAATAGGGAATGGTTGGGAAAGGTATGGTTTAGATGGGATATAGGTAGATTAGCCTATTTTCTTGTGAATTTGAGTAAGAATGAGATAGTATTTTACAGCTTACATTGTTATGTATTCTTATATGTGGTAAGCTATGTAAAATTAAGTTTATATTTTTTTATATTGTGTGAAATCTTTCCACTTACAATGTTTTATGCACATTATTTTTACCATATTCTATGTATGTATACTTTTCTTGTATTCAAGACATTTGTATATTGATACAATTTGGGATATTATGCTGCCTTTTTTAGTTCTACCTCTTGTCTTGACATTTCTACTCTACCTCTATTTTAGGGATTTATATGTATGTATATGTATATAGTTATATTGTTTAAGTATTTGTTCCTGCTTTATTCAGGGAAGTTTTAATCAGTTTTTTAGCTAAGTTCCTGAGTATTACAGATTATCTTCACTCATGTTTCCTGTACCTATGAGATTAGTCAGATATAGATGCTTAATCTTCAATCACTTCATAGACATGCAGAACATGGCATTTAAATGTTTTAATATTAGTACTCCATTGACATGAGACACTGTTGCTCCTGACAGCACTGTGCACTTTCCCGAAAATATGTTGGGCACTGTTTTTGCTCCTGCTGGAGTTCATTCTCGCCTCAGCTAATGGCCTGTTGGGCAAAGAATTGTTCCCACCTTGACCACTGATTTGGACATGCAGTCCTATGTGCTTGCAGGAGACAAATATAGAAGACTGCTTGACCTTGCCAAGTCTGAGTAAGACAGCCATTCTACCTCCCTGCTGTTGTTGTGGTTTGTCAAGTTCTCTTGGCCTTAGCCAAAACTGGGTGTACCAACATTGCTGTGAGACCTAGGGTGACTGTCCAGGTGGCTTGCTGTTTCTGTCCTTGCTGCACCTTTTGGAAGTTGTCCATCTGCACTTCCTGTCTACTCTAGTATTGTTATTTTCCTTCTCAGGTCTTGATGAGGTTGAAGATTAAACTATCACAACTATTATTCTCTCTTCCTAGTTAGATATATTAGGTACTAGACTTAACGTTTTCCAGCTTAGGATAACTCTGTTGTAAACTCCATTATGCCTTCACCCTAGGACTAGATATGTAGGTCATTTTGTTCTTGATTTTCCTTTTCTTAGAGCACACTTGTTATTCACTGTTTTGTATATAGTTTTGATTAAGCCTAAATCCTTTATTTAGACTAAAAGGGGAATTGTAGTGAGATAGTCCTTCTGTGGCACTGACCACACCCATTGGGGGTGGAGCCATGGGCGGAAGTGACCTGGGGAAGGAGGTCGGAGGAAGAGCCGGGAAAAGCTCTCTCTTGCTGGTGTGACTAGGACAGGAGAGGATCGGGCAGAATTTCCTGGTGTTCATCTGTCTGGGTTGTAAGTTATTTCTCCCTACATCTATTCGGCCTATTTGTTTATCCTGATCCTTATTTAACCGCGATACAAAGGAGTCAAGACCATGATGGGGAAACCCACAGAACCAGCTGGCCTGAGCACTCAGAAGTCACTGACTCAGGTCTGACAAATGGGGAACCTGCATAACACCAAACTAGACTCCCTTAATATAGGTGACAATCATGTAACTGGGTCAGTATATGAGGCCACTGGCAGTGGGTCCAAGATCTAATACTAATTCACAAACTGACTTAGTGGAGCCCATTCTATATGGAGAAATACCTTGCCCAGCCTGAAACACAGGAGTATGGGGGTAGAGAGGTGCCTTGGTCCTGCCTCAACTAGATGATGGGACAGACTTAATAGACTTCCTAGGGGAGGCCTTATACTCTCTGTGGAGCAGAGGAGGAGGGTGGAGGATTTGGGAAGAAAGGAGGGAGGGGGAACTGGGATTGGAATGTAAAAACTTAATTTTAAAAAAATGAACAAAAAATTGTGTTCCTGCCGCACCGTGGCTGCTCTCTTAATGCCAGTGCCATCTCTCGCTTGCCAAGCTCCAGCTGAAGGAGAAGGGGGGTAAGAAGGAGGTGCTTATACCATGGCTCATACAAAGCATACTGCCCGTAAGTCCACGGGTGGTAAAGCTCCCAGGAAACAACTGGCTACAAAAGCCACTTGCAAGAGTGAGCCCTCTACTGGAGGCGTGAGGAAACCTCATCGTTACAGACCTGCTACTGTGGCACTTCGTGAAATCAGATGCTATCAGAAATCCACTGAACTTCTGATTCGCAAGCTCCCCTTCCAGCGTCTGGTGCGAGAAATTGCTCAGGACTTAAAAACAGATCTGTGCTTCCAGGGTGCAGCTATTGGTGCTCTGCAGGAGGCACATGAGGCCTATCTGGTTGGCCTTTTTGAAGATACCAACCTGTGTGCTATCCATGCCAAACTTGTAACAATTATGCCAAAAGATATCCAGCTAGCATGCCGCATACGTGGAGAACGTGCTTAAGAGTCCACTATGAGGGGAAACATTTCATTCTCAAAAATTTTTTCCTCTTCTTCCTGTTATCAGTACTTTTTCCATGAGGTCAAAAGGTACTTAAGTATATAATTGCAAGTGGAAAAATAGGGGACAGAAATCAGGTATTGGCAGTTTTTCCATTTTCATTTGTGTGTGAATTTTTAATATAAATGCAAGATGTAAAGCATTAATGCAAGCAAAATGTTTCAGTGAACACATTTCAACAGTTATAAATAAACCTGTTAAATTTTTCTGGAAAAAAAATGAACAAAAAACAAAAAAGGGATGATTCTTCCATTACCTTTGATCCAGCTAATGAGCCTCCCCACAAAGATCAACCCCCACATCTCTCCAACTTTCATACCACTTCAGTTTCCCTTTCTCTCTCAGTGACAGGTCACCCATGTAAACTCTCACTGGCACCTACTTTCAGCCCACAGGCATCCCCTAGTCTTCCCATTGTTAAGAATAAGGAGTAATTGGGTTGGGACAGCAGGTGGCAGGTCACCAGTCCCACACTGAGACCTCAAGGATCATGGTCTCAGGGTGGGTGATAGAAGGTCCTGGGGTGGGTGATGATGAATGGGGAAACACAGAAACCTGTAGATGTGACTCATATTGAAAGTTTTATTGAGGAGGATGTAAGAAAATAAGGTAAAGAGACACAGAGACAGAGAGAGGACAGAAGAGAAGAGGGAGACAGGAAAAATCTGCCTGCCCCAGGGGAACAGTGGGAAAGAGAGTGTAAGTAGGACAGAGCCTTTCTTTTAGAGGGGTTCTTTGCACTTGCGTGCAGAATACATAGCCATGGAACTCTGAGCTGACCTGGGTACTGCCTGAGTGCATTCTGCCAGGTGACAGGGGCAGGCCAGCATAATGCCTGAATCCTTACACTACTCACTCCCTCCCTGCCACAGAATCCCCTCTACCTTCCCCTACCTGGCTTAAACCAAACTTAGTTCTCTCTTTGTGAGAGATTAGCAGGGTATATGACTTAGGGTATGTGTCCCATTCTCATTAACTGGAGTCTCTCAAATAGAAAAGGGAGAGGGCCAATTCTTCCACCTTTATTAAAGAATTCCAGTATATCACCTGCCTTAGGGTTTCTCTTGCTGTGAAGAGACACTATGACCATGGCAACTCTTAATAAAGGAAAACATTTAATTGGATTGACCTAGGTTTTCAGAGGTTTAGTCCATTATCTTCATGGTATGACATGGTGGCATGCAAGCAGACATGGTGCTGGAGAAGTAGGAGAGTCCTACATCATGACTTGAGGCAACAGAAAGTGTTCTGAAATACTGGGCACGGCTTGAGCATATATGAGACCTCAAAGCCTGCCTTTACAGTGGCACACTTTCTCCAACAACCACACCTCCAACAAGGTCATACCTCCCAATAGTGCCACTTCCTTTGGGGGCCATTTTCTTTGAAACCACCACATTCTATTCCCTGGCCCCAAAGTCTTGTAGCCATATCATAATGCAAAAATACTTTCAATCCAATTTCAAAAGTCCCCATGCTCTATAACAGTCTCAAACTTCAGCTGACCTCTTGGTCTGTCCATGAACCACTGAGGAGACTCAGGCTCCCTTGGCCTGACAACTGCCTTAGGCACTCATTACAGTATCAGTGTGATCTATCTCCTCCCTTCTGGAAACTAGGGCCATGTTTTTGTTCTGATGAAATTCTTAGGAGCCACTCTCCCTTTCATTCCTCTGTTGTCAGGGGGTCAGCCTTACCTGCCTTACCAAATCCTACCACTAGTTGTATTTTTAGGGGTATCACCCTTACTCATTCCTTCCTAATGGTGTTAAACTGTCCCACCCCCTTGCTTGGAAAGGACCCCCTTGTCTAGGTAGGAGCCATTATTTCTTTTGCTCCTCTAACCATTTGACCTCAGGTTTGCCAGTCATTCCCCTTCTCCTTCTCCTCCAAACTACACAACCTGATACACATTTTCTTCGTGACCTCTCAAGTATCTACTCAAGTATGGGACACCCAAAACCCCTCTATAGCTAAACATCACCCTGTGGTGAAATTTTGTTTGTAATCTAACAAATAAAGTTACCTGAAGGTCAGAGTGCAAAGCTAGTTACACTAACTAGTTACACTAACCATAAAGGCCAGGCAGTGATGGCACACACCTTTAATCCCAGCACTAGGGAGACAGAGGCAGACAGATCTCTGTTAGGAGTAAAGTTTTTCCTGCCAGCCTGGATCCACCACCACTCCAGCCCCAAATAACACACAGAGACCCTGTATTAGGTATAATGTTGACCTGTTACTTGTTTCTTATCGGCTAGCTCTGTCTTAATTATTAACCCATTTCTATTAATCTAAGTACTTCCACGTGGTCTTATCTTACCAGAGAGAGGGGGCTGGTGGTTCTGCTCTCTCCAATCTCTCCATCTTGACTCCTCCCTACTACTTCCTCAAATCCTCCTTGTCTCCTAGTCCCACTTATCTTGCTTTCCTGTTGGCCAACAGTGCTTTATTCATTAACCAATAAGAGAAACATATTTACAGAATGACATCTCCCATCAAACCTCCATTAGTTCAAGGCCACCCTGAGCTACACAAAATTGATCCAGTCTAAAAGAGAAAACACTTAATCCAGTCACTCACAGTTCCACCAGAAAGGACAAAATTCTATCCTAGGGATGTCTGGCTTCTTATACTCTTAGGCTCATTCTTTCTCTCTTCTCACTCACCCCCTATATGAGGTGGCCCTTAGTCCCTCACATGAACCCCTTGTGCCCATTACCAAGACCAAGCTACAGCAGGTCCTCCTCCAGGCTCCAGCCCTACATCTTCCGGGCTTAACTCACCCCTTCTCTCTGTGTCACAGAAAAGGAGTGATATGCCCCCAGGGTACCAGGTCACCAACTGTGACCTCCCTCCACACCTGTAGTGTACTTACTGAAAAAAATTAGATGTACTATCCAAGGTTGGGGACCTAGCCTGTGCCCTCTGGCCTCAGCTAAACTTCTTATATGTTAGTGAAAGAAGGTAACTTTTGGGTCACCTATTACTGTCCTCTCTCCTCACCACCTGCCCCATCTTTTAACATACAAGGGCCACCAAACACTACACACTTCTCAAGTTCTCTCTCTTCTGCTAGTATTGGTAGAGGACACAACACTTACCTTTCAGCCATGCCCACCTCTTAACATTTCAGATTTCCTCTCCTGACTAATCTCAGAAAAATCCCCATCTCAATCTTGCACTCTAAAAGAGACTCCAAAAGAGTTATTATCTCATTCTACACATACACACAAGGGAGCACTACCTCAGGCCACATATACTTGGTACACAGAGTGGCATATGCTATTGTTTTGGACACTATGGTGGTTGAAGCACAGGCCCTTCCAGTCCAAACCACAAACCAGCGGACCAAATTAATATCTCTTACAACTAGCAAATGGGCAGTCCCTAAACATTTACACAGAATCCAATTATGCTTTTCACATTCTCTTGTCACATGTAGCTATTTGGAAGGAGAACAGGCTATTAACAACAAAAGGAGGGCCCATATGCAACTTAGATCAAATCATGATCCTTCTAGAAGCCTCTTTTTCCCATGGCCATAGGAATCATCCACTGCCGATCACACCAAGTGAACATTATTCCGTTATTTCCAAGGAAAATAGCCAAGTTGATGAGGCAGTTAGAGCTATTGTTCTAGGGTCTGGGTCCCTCTCACACATCACAAGGCACTCTCATTTTCCAACCCACACCTCCATCACCATCTCCAAATACAATATAAATTCTATCCTATCTGCAACAGATCTTTCACCTTATCAGCCAGGCTGTGCCTCACTTTATTAAAACCTATGTGCAGCCTACCTCTGAGGATCTATCCTATCCAAAGAATATCACTGATTCCTATAAAACTTGTCAAACTTCTAACCCTACCTCCAGACATCAAGTCTCCCTTTCAACACTCATCAAGCCAGGGGATCCCTCTTTGGATCAGACTGGCAGTTCGACTTCTCCCACATGCCCAAGGTTAGATGTAGTGAGATAGTTCTGTGGCACTGACTATGCCCATTGGGGGGTGGAGCCATGGGCGGGGTGACCTGTGGAAGGAGGTCAGAGGGAGAGCCAGGAAAGGCCCTCTTGCTGGCGTGACATGGACAGGAGAGGATCGGGTTGAATTTCCTGGTGTTCATCTGTCTAGGTTGTAAGTTATTTCTCCCTGAATAAACATCTATTCGGCCTATTTGTTTATCCTAATCCTTATTTAACCGCATTATCTGGTGTCAGAAGTTAGATGCTTCAGATACCTTTTGGTCCTGGTAGACACCTTCTCAGGATGGGTAGCAGCTTTGCCCACTACTAATAAAAGATCACAGACAGTTTCTGATCTCCTTCTCAGGGAGGTCATACCCTGTTTAAGAGTTCCAAACTCCCTTCAATGAGATAATGGCCCTGAATTTGCCTCTCAAATCTCTCAAACTCTAGCTAAATCCTTTAACATCAAGTGGCATTTCCATCTCCAGTCTTCAGGAAAAGTCAAACAAAGCAACTGCTCTCTCAGAAACATTCTCATCAAACTCTTCCAAGAGGTCCATACTGATTGTATAAAACACCTGTGGTTGGCTCTTCTGTAACTAAGAATTTCCCCAAAGAAACCCCTCCTTATCTACCCTTTCCAGCTCGTCAAAAGATATCAATGGAAGGTCTTGGTACATGGAATGATAAATAGCCCCATCCTATGCCAATATTTTGTGCAAAAACCTTGGAAATAATTCATAAACAGTTTCCACAATCCATAATTTACCATTACATGGATGATATATTGTTGGCTGATTCTAAAATAGAAATATTAGGAAAAAATGTTTAAGGAAGTATACTTCCTCTTTCTGGGGATTACAAATCCCCCCAAATACAAAGAGGAGTAATTCTATCAATTACTTGGGATATAAAATAAGTCTATAGGAAATTAAAAAATGTTCAGACCAGGAGAGATCATTACCAGACTCTTAATGATTTTCAAAAATTACTAGCAGAGATTTCTCAACTACACACCATTATTGGATT